CTAAACCCTAAACCCTTTTCTTGAGCTTGGCAGTTTCCCTTCCGACACCATCAACCGACCTGTGCGTATCGTCCCAGCATGATATTTCCAGATTGCGGGCGGCTGCCTCATGTTTCCGATTTTTTATGCCGTGTTGTGTCATTACACATATTTGAAGATTATGTTATTTGTATACCTACTTATGTTTCAATCTATTTGTTTGTTCATATTGTATTATATGAATACATATGTGTACGTACATATGTTCATACAATCATTGTGTATGCATGTGTCAGACTGATGTATGTATATTGTATATAGAGCCCGGCATCTCGGCCGCCGTGGAGGTGCGAGCCCTTACAGTCCGCACCGGAGCTCCTACCAGACGGTTCAGAGCTCTGCAGCTTGGCTCGGTGCCGTGTATTGGTTTTGGGGGAAGCAGGGTTTAGGGTTTAGGGACTTTTNNTTTCCTGCGCGCTCTTGCCTTAAGACGGGGTGAGGGTTGCATGGGCGCTGGCCGGCACCTCAGTCCGTGCTGAAAAGGAATGGGACAGCAACAATAAGTTGTTGGCATTTTGACATACCTTGCGGCGTTTCTGTGCTACCCACCTTTATGAGCCTTCCTATGAATCCGAACCTAACCTATGACATAAACCCTCAACCCTCATGCAAACCCATCCCAACCTCAACCCGATTATAAGCCCCAAGCCCTAAGCCCTACATAAGACCAGGAATCCCAACCTAAACCCCATGATAAGCCCCAAAGCTCTAAACCCCCGAAACCCTACACCAATTAGCGGGCCAAGCGACATTAACTTTCATCCGCGGATAAGGCCACAGGGCCGCTTTGCAGGCACAGCAGACTACCAACACTCACATCATCAGATCACTACGTCACTATGCCCCCCCCTGGCAGCTTAGAGCCACATGCGCTCTTCGCCCCGTACCAGAAAACCTCGCCCAGGCTTGTCCGAATGTGAGTGCTGAAACCCTGCACCCCAAGCCCAATCAGGAATCCTGCTTCTGGATCCCTAAACCCTAAACCCTAAACCCACCCTGCATTGCGGGCTTTGTCCTTGCTAGGTAGGAGGCAAAAAAACCCTCCGTGGGCATAGTTCTCAGCAATGCGAGAGGGAAAAAAACCCTAAACATCGTCGTGTACCAGGAACCTCGCCTAGACATGTTCGAGAGTGAGTGCTGAAACCCTAAACCCAATCAGGCGGGTGGTAAAACAGCCCAATCAGGAATCCTGCTTCTGGATGCCATGGGATGAGTTCAAGGTGACCTTCGACAAGCTCTGTGTCTCACCTAAGCCCTCGAGCCTGGAGCTCGGATCGCCGGGGGATGAGGGGTAGAAAGGGTTCCTTTTAGTTTAGGGTTTAGGGTTTAGGGTTTACGTTTAGGGTCAGGGTTCTGTAAGGGTTCCTATAAGGGTGCCCTTAAGGGTCCTTTCAGGGATCTTAGTTAGAGGGTTCTGTAAGGGTTCCTATAAGGGTGCCGTTAAGGATTTATTGCTCGAAGGGTTTTGGGGCGGAGGTCTTCGGGTTTGGGGCTTATATGGGGCTTATGGCTACTTAGCCATTAGCTCTAAGGTTCAGGGCATAGGTGTTCCGGTGTTACGGCTTAGGCAAGTTTAGGCGATATCCATCCGTGAGGTTTCTCTCTCGGTGGTCTGCCTCATCTTCAGATTGGCTCTGGTCGTTCTTACAAACTTGAGGTCTGTCTTGGTTCCAAGAATGCTGCAACCCGGTTTAGGGTTTAGGGATGTTTAGGGCTTCATTTAGAGACTGGATGGAGTGCAGTGGCAAAAAAAGGGCCTATTTCAGGGTCCCGTGGGGTCCTGGAGGCTTCAGTCAAAACCTTCGATGTGCTCTTCACGCCGCACTGCCTTCTCCGATTGGAGAGTGCAGTCCGAAATTCAACTTCCCGACGGGTTATTCCTCTATCGTGGTTTATGCTGACCATCTTGTTTACATCCCTTCAATCTTCAACCGTTGTAAGGTGCTGACCAGCAAGCATGCTTTCATGCCGCTCTGAACGTGAGTGCGCCGACTGCGAATCGACAGGCTGACAGACCCCACTTGGCGGGTCTGGAGCACAAAGCGTGCTTTAAAATCGCGAAGAAAGGTAAGTTCAAAACCCACAACAAACCCACAACAACTTAACACTATGTTTATATATATATATATATATATAGTAACCCCCAAAATAATATAGGTATGTATTAAGGCCCCTCTGTTAGGGACAACAACTTAACACCGCTGAGCCAGTTCCAAACTAAATCGCACTTCCTCCAGGCTCGGAGCTAGCAGACGGCCCCTCCACCATCCCACTCCGCGCAGCAGCTGGCGGCCAGCCCGAGTCTCGCCCGAGTTTTGGGGGTTTAAGGGTGAGGCATGGGAAGCAAGGGCAGCAGTCAAGGGTTGAGGGTTTACGTGGAGCCGCTGCAGACCGGATGCAAAGGGTTTAGGGTTTAGGACAGGACGAGCTGCACATGTCCTTCACTTCTGGCTCATGTTGGTGCGATGGGAGTTCTATGGCCTCGTTGTTGATCTTCATATGGAGCAGTGGTTTGTTGATGCGTACTGTAGTCATCTTCATGACTTCCACGACCTTGCGTTTACTCAGTTTTCATTTGTGGTCTTGAGTACAGTAATTCCTCAAAGCTGGGTGTCATGAGCATACGTTGTGCGGGGTTGCGCGGTCATGGGTACTGTACTGCTTCACGGCGACAGCAGTTCCGGGCGAGAGAAGCCTGCTGCAAAAGGGATGTCGGAGGGCTCTCTGCACTAGCTTCTCTGACTAGGTTCTCTCTGGTGGGGTCCAAATTGCAAGATCGGCGTCCTCTTTTAACATCCTGTTTTATCATGTTACCATGACTGGTTCATATCGAGGCACGTGCTGCATGACTGACGGCTAGGCTCGCTGCTTTGCAGTTTCTCGTCTTTGCTGCCAGGCCTGAAATATATGACACGATATGAGTCTACGTTGTGATATAGAGACCACACCCAGATGCCTGTAAGGAGCTTTGCCCAAGCTTGGCGAAGATGGCACCACTGCCCCTCCGCAGCTTGGCCGCGGCTACATCTCAGTTCTTCGGTTTGCTAGCTACATGTACTTGCGCCTGGGCCAACCAGACAATTGTGCGTCCTGCAGACCACCGGAAATTCGGCAGCCGGAAATTCACGGAAGCAGGTGTAGACGAGCTTCATTCAGGGTGCAAGGCCAAAGATCCTTTCAAGATTTCGGGGTGCGGACCCTTTGAGGCTTTGAGCGAAAGCTGAGATTGGTGTAGCTGCAGTTATCTGAAAGGGATATGTTGCATGCGGATGCGACAGAAGTAATAGTGAAGAAGGCGAAAATCCGGATAGCATCTCTCCGACTACTAAGCTGCAGTATCGCCACACCAGGCAGCCGTGCAAACATGGCGGAATGAGAAAATATCCTGCAGCCGAACCCGAAGCGTGACACTCCTCAAGCGCATACCAGTCAGGTGAAAGACCATTACAGCATTGGGTAGTGCTCCAAGTGGAGATCCCTTTTAAAGTCCTTGCTTTGAGGGTGATGGGCCCTTCTTAGCAGGGCCCAAGGAAGGGAGCCTTCAGCTGAAAAAAGCTACTTTTTCCGGTGCAGCAAGGTAGGAGCACCGACTGCTTCTTGACCAGGCCGGGAGCTACACCAGGTGACCGTCACCTTCGATCCTTACGTGACGATGCCGGAGTTCTTGGATGATGGCGCCCTGGAGACGCGACTTAGGCGGACGGCTAAGGGTAAAGGGATGTTACGGCTGTCATTTTAAAGGCTTTGAGGCCTTCTGGGAAGTTGCCGTGGCCAAAGAGCCCAAGGCCCAAAACAAAGGCTGAGACCTCAGACCTCGTGTTGGCCAGTCCGGGAGGGGGGGTCCGGGGCCCTTTCCGGGAGCTGCCGTCCGTGAGCATATGAGAGTAATGTAGGGGCTTAAGTCATCATTACCTACACTATTTCGGGATTTCTTATAATAATTTTAGTATAATGGGCCCCAAAACCCTATTCTAACTATTAAGGCCCCTACATGAGTCGTGTGAGTTTATGCAACGAGACGGGAGGCAAAAATCTGACTGTAGAAGGCACGGACCCGATCGATAACATAATAACTGTTGTTTCGGAATATGTAACATACAATGTGTCGTACACAAAATTAGAACGCCGCCAGCAAAACCCTAACCCGAATCTTAGAGCTCCAGAAACCCTAAACCCCTAAATCCTAAACCCTAAACCCTCATGGCTGGAGGTGGGAAGCTTCCAAGCCTGGACACCTCCAGCAGCTTCTGGATGCCAACAAGAACCCAGAGCTCTCTTCAGTAGTAGCCTTTTTGTGCGTCCTTTGTGCTTCGATGCCAACAAGAATTTCAGAGGTTTTGTCAGTATTACATGTTGGGAGTCTCCTCATTCGATTCGAAGAGTAGGAGAAATGGTGCCCTTGGTATTAATTGGGCAACTGCGGAACCTAGGAACAACGGCCGCGGCCCTTCCTCCAGCCATTCGATGCTGCAGAAGATGGTGGAAGCCGAAGGCTCTCTTGCAAGTAGGATTCTGCAAGCAGAAAAAAAGAGGATGCAGCTGGCAATCCCTGTCTCTACTCAGAATTTAGAGTCGGGGTTGGCTTTCCTCAGCTGTCTCCTGCTTTGGTGCTCCCAAACTACTCTTCACAGCTCCAAGGTGAAGCTCAATGGGCCAACTTAAAGGCACGGAAAAGCCGGAATCCAGCCCCGGGTGGGTTCAATATCGGAAGCTTCCAAGAGCCCGACACGCGAACATCTTCGACTCATGCCACTTCTCGACCTGCGCGCGGAATCTCAAAGTTTTTCCGGCTCCGGGGTCGCCCGACTTCGGAGCCGGGACTTGTAGTCTGCAAGGCCTTCAGTTGGCGCTGGGACCCCATGGCTGTCATCAGGCCATGTCAGGGGTACGAGAGTGGGAAGGAAGATGGGCTTATGGCTGCAGCATTAGGCACGGTTCGTGGCTCAGTCATGAAGCAGACTCCATGTTCTGTTCAGATAGGATTGTGCTGAGTCCCGGAAGGATGCACGTTTTACCCTTTCAGGGCGTTGTGAACATGGCACAGTGCAGCTGCCTGTCCTCCAGCATATCAGCAACCAGGCCACAGTCTCCACCGTAGACCGTAGGTTGGGGTGGAGTCTAGTGTCTAGTGTTGAGATGACAGGGCTCGTCGCGGTAAGGCAAAGAGTGTGGGCGTGGATATAGTTTACATTTACTGAAGGCAGAAGTGAGCTAATGCGAGCTACGCGCGAACCTTCTTCATTGCCCTTGGGGCGCCCGACATGGACTGAACTCGTACTTACTCCGAAGAGACCACTTCAGACGCACACCTTCAGGCAGTCGTCGTTGTTGTCGTCCTTTGCAACTGTTATCCCGGCAACCCGGAATCCAAAGACCCATGGGAAACAAGCTAAAGTGAAACTCTTCGCTAGGCCCGGCCCAGCACCAAACACGAAGCTTCAAGTGGGGGTTTCCGAAAATAGGGGACCCTAATATAGTACCCTAAATAGTAGGATCCTTATTGTAAGGAACCCAAAATAAGGGACCTCTTATTTTCGGAAACTCCCAAGTCACCGCAAACCGAACTGTTGGGAGCGACGCGCAGACCAAGAATGCTCATCCGACGCACAGCCAAGGCAGACCTTCGCAGCAACACTCCCATGAAGTATTGATGCCCACCGGCAGGCTTCAACTTCCTACAAGCCCCTGTTTTCACACTCTAAGACACCGTATGTCCTCATCGAAGTCTATAAGAACCCCACAAAGCTCCGTAAGTAGAAACTATGACCCCTATTAGTCCTTTGAGTACCAGGCGGGCCACTGCCGGTGGAACCTTGGCCGGTGTGAGGATCCCTTCTTTGTGGTATGAGTGCTTGGGTTTCCGAATACTGGAGAAACTGAGCCCTGAACTGGAGTGCTAATTTAGAAAAATAGCTCTCCAAACCTATACCTAGATATACCCAGAGCCCTGAAGGGCCCCAACCGTCCGGGTGGTGAGAGTCTCAAAGGGCCCCAGAGGCCTAGAGCGCTCGAAACCCTAAACCCTCAACCCTAAACCCTAAACCCTAAAACCCTAAACCCTAAACCCTCAACCCTAAACCCTAAACCCTAAAACCCTAAACCCTATCGAAACCCTAAGGAGTCCATCCCCACGGCCGTCGCTGAAGCGCCGCCTCAGGGAATCCGAAGCTGCACGCGGCCAGAGCTGGCTGCCCCTCACCTGTCTTGAGTTTCCGAAATTAAGGGGTACCTTATTTTGGGGTCCTGAAAAAAGGATCCTACTATTTTGAGTTTCAGAAAGTTAGGGGTACCTTATTTTGGGGTCCTTATAATAGGGATCCTATTATTTAGGGTAATATATTAGGGCCCCCTATTTTCGGAAACCCCCACCTGTCTTGAGTTTATGAGGTTGAAAGGTTTACAGTTCCGGGCTGAGTCTATGGGTTTCGGGTTTTCTGGCAGAGTCTAGGAATTAGGATGCAGTTTTCTCGGTGCAGGTATCTTTTACTGTGTGATGCAAAACTTCTGGCTACAGATGTCTCATGTTCTGGGGTGTTTGGGGCCTTAATGAGGCTTCGCAGGGCAATGAGCTTCAGGACTGTGGGCTTTAGGGTTGTCCGATCAAGGACCATAATATATATATATATATATGTATATATATATATATATATATACAGGGAGAGGAATGCCCGAGAAACTCCATCAGGCCTTTGTGGGCGTCATGTTGCATTGCGGAAGGTTTTGCGGTGCTGAGCCGAATTACTTCAGGAAGACTGCGGAGAACTTCCGCACAAGCTCGGTTGGGTCGTTCCGGCATGGGCAAAATCAGAAATTGTAGTGGCCACACGACAGTAGCAGCAAAACCCACAGCCTTAGCCCTCAACCCTCACTCTGAAGTTGCTCGAACTGCTCGCAAACCGCAAGCCCCGTGGTAAACTCTGGTGTTTCCCCCTGTGAACCGACGAAGTCGGAGTTTTGAGAATCGCGACTCCTGAAATCACAACAGTCCACAACCTACGTCATAAAACCCTTCCATCCGAGCCCTTCATCATTCAAACGGCGAAGTGATTCCAACTCAACCATACCTAAACCACCCGGCAATGCGGGCATCGTTCTTGGTAAGTAGCCTTCAAAACAAACCTACAGCATAAACCGTCAGCCCATCCAGCGGTTATTTGATCTGTAGGGGCCCCATGTAGAATGCAGCCGAGGCCGGTGAGCTCCGTCGCAGAAGCCACGGACGGCTGCATCGTGTCGTAGTTTGCTCGTTGTACTATTTTAATAATGTGCAACATTATACTTACGCATTACTCAAGATAAGCATTATCGGAATCAGTAGTAATTATGGTCAGTTTGATTATGACTGGCATCACGGGCCAGCAACCTGGCTTTGAAAACATCTCCAAGAGTGGCTCTAATTCAGCCCCGGCTGCACCAGTTCAGAGCCTTGTCGGGACAAAGACCCGTGATCAAGATCTGCAGAAAAGAAGACCGCGAGGGCATGCCCGTCTAAGTGTTTTTGGCACTGCAAAGACGACTTTGAAAGCTCCAGACATGGTTTCACACCGGCTGCTTCTGGCGGTGACCTGGGGTGGCTGATTGGCATGGAAGCCACAGTGCCACCAGCACAAGTTTCGTAAGTAGCCTGCAACGTCCCAGCACACCAAATGGCTGAGTTCGGCAAAAACCCCGTAACCCCACTCCCAGACCCCTGAGGTAGACCCGCTAAACGGTACTACAGGGTACTCTAGCATTCTGGACTAGAGTCCCACTTGAGGCTACTACAGGGTTCTACAATAGGGTCCTGTTTAGAGGTGCTGGAAGGTTCTTTACACAAGTAATATAGAAGCACAAAGAATACACAACTAATGTAGGAGCCTTAATAATTAGAATAGGGTTTGGGGTATAATTATAGTATAATGGGCCCCACAACCCCATTAGAATTATTGAGGTCCCTATATTAGCACAGGGACGACCTTGAGAGGCTAGGGCTACCCAAAACCTTGTCATGCGAGGTGTTCAAGCTTCAGGATGAATGCCGACGGTTGATGGACCGGCCTCCGATTTAATTAATTTAGGGTTTAGGGTTTTAGGGTTCAGGGTTTCTGGTTTAAGGTTTTGGGTTTAGGCTGTAGGGTTTCGGGCTTGGGGTTACAAGTCTGTGCTAAAAGGTTTAGGACTTAAGGGTTTAGGGTTCAGGGGTTGAGGGCTTCTGCTTGACCCTTGCGAGAGTTCGGGAGGGCGGGCTCCAGAGTGGAGTACAGTAGAGGGGCTTCTGTATAGCACGAATGTTTTCTGGCTACAATTTCAAAGAGGGTATCGTGTTTGAAGTCATTATAGATTCAGACCAGCAAAATTAGCAAGTTCTTTGCATATGGACTTTCCTGACGATGACATGCTGGCCCCGACTTCTTAAGCCAAGCAGGCTGCTATCAGACACATGCTTTGTCGAATTTTGTCAGCGCATCACAGACAGTAGCCTCCCTTTTTCAGCACTGCGCTTGTCATGGCAGGAAAACATGCCTGCCCCTACGAGACTTGGCCTTTTGAATGACAGCAGCTGCCCGACCTATGTTTCCTCTAAGTCATCACGAAGTCTCCACCAAAGCCCTTGCCCCGCAGAAGCCGCGCCTGCAGGACATGAACAGCAGTCTCCAGTCCCAGGTGCAGCGAAGTGGTCCAGGCCAGAATGCGGGGAGGAGACTCGATAGTTTCAGGCTTCGGGGTTCAGCAGAAAGGGCTTAGGGTTTAGGGTTCAGGGCTGGCAAGATAGATGCAGCAAAGGTCATGATGGGAGTTGGAGCAGAAAGGTGGGACTTGTTGCCAACAGCGGCTTACGTAGTTGCATATGGGGGAGTCCTTCAGGACATTGGGGTACCCTAAATTAGGGGTCCCCAGGGGTTGTCTGGGGTTCAGGGTTTAGGATGTTAGAGGTCCCTCACCTGCCGAATGCCACGGAGATATTAAAAGGTGTTATGATCTCAAGAACCCGCCAGTCGCATCACAGGGGACCTGGCCGCTGGTGATGCGGCGCGGATCTCGGGGTCGCCAAGAGTGCCAGTGCAAAGAGTCGGCGTAAGAGCGGATAGTCAGGGAAAAGGGATCCTGTGAGGGTTCCTAGAGGGAGGAAGAGAGAGCGCACAGAGCCGAGGACACTGTTGAAGAGGCACACTTGCGAGACGCGGGGGTCTTGGATGTGAAACGATCTGATTGCAATAGTGCGGCAGTCCGAAATTCCCTCCTGACATTGCCGAACGACAGACGCTGGCAGTGAAGCACCATACTCAGTTGCAGACAACAGTGGAACAGAGCGCTTTTCGGTAAGCCTCAACAAAAAGCCCAAAGAGGCTATGGAGCGCCTGACTGCGCAAAACCGGCAACTACGAGAGGACAGGCACACCGTTCTTGGCACTGCCTTCGCATGGAGATGCCGAAGAAAAGACCGAGCTTTTGACCGAACCACCCGAAGGACAATTCCAGACGTTCCCCGCCCTTTGGTTGTTTGGGTTTTTCGGCTTCTTGAGGCTAGGCCTCCGAGTTTCATGTGTGAAGTTTGGTGGTTCAGGGCCCCAAGGCCAGGGGAGAATTTAGGGGTTCGGTTTCGGGCTCGTGGCCAGGAGCTTCGTGGTCTGCAGTCACGGGCACCGCTGGTTCCTGCGGAGAGCCTCGCCGCCCCTGCGCTGCCGAAGCAAAAATGGATGCCAAGAGTCTCCAGTATCCCTCAAACTTAGATTTGGACTGCAACTTAGACCGTAAAACTGGTGAGGGAGCACTTAGAGCACCCGTTCCAGGAGAGTTCACCGAACTCTGCTAAGTATTTCGGATTTCTCACGACCTTTGACAAGCTTGCTCGTCTTCCACATGGTGATACCGTGCTATTGGGTTTCCGGCAGGGCTTTCCGCACTGGCCCGCTGGCGCTTGGGCTCAAGCCGTAATTAGTCACTAATTAGTCCTGTCATTGGGCTCCTCACACGACAGGACCAGCATCCCAGCCGTGTTGCAGCAACTGCCAAGAAGGCACGGACAGTTTACGCTAGATCTACAGCAGACCCCGACAGATTACAAACCCCCCCATAAATCATGCATCCATGGAGCGACAAAGAGGAGCCCCCAAAGCCTCAAGAGCCCGATGCTTTCGCACCATGGACTTGGAAAGTGCGGCTGCCCAGGGGTCGGGACAGTTGTAATAGTGTCTGTCGGGAGTCCTGAAAAAAGGTATAAGCGGCTCAAAACCCTAATGATCAAGGTCTTTGTTTGTTTTTTGTTCTTGGGGTTTGGGAAGTCTTGTAGGCTTCTATTGTAAACCGCAATACAGAAGTTATTGGGGCCCGATGCGGCCCAACAAATCAGGGTCGGTTTTCTGAGCTCAAGGTCAAGACCCTACTGCTCACCTACACCCTAAACCCGAAAAGGTAGGAGGGACAAAAGCCTAAAAACCCCAATAGTTAGCCCGAAGGGTCCAAGTACCAGTATAGTATATACCTTTGGGGCCTAAACACCTAAGTACCTACTATAGCTGGTACTTGGATCCTTCAGTTAGAATCAAGGCTCGCCTGGTTTCCGAGTGTGCGAGTCCAGAGCCTGGCGGTACCCTAAGCCGACACGCTGAACCTCAGAGGCTCGGCTAGCCGACAGCAAGAAAGCATGTTTGAGTATCATGTCTATAAAAAAATTGGAGGCTTTAGTTTTGCTTTCGTCTACCTTTTTAGCCTCACATACTTTTTTACAAATTAGTAGGATTCGGATTGTATCGTATATGAAGTCTACATTTTTTTAGAAGTCTGTTTCAGGCCGAAGCTCCTTCTCTGATGACCTCGAGTTCGAAGGGCCCAGCGACCTCAAGGATATCGAGGCCAAGGGGGGCTTTCCTTTAGGAGCGTCTGAGTCTGCCCTTTCTAAACCCTCGAAAACCCGGGACGCTGCGAACGCGAAGCTACTTTCGCCGTGTCCGAGTTGCGAGAGCCTTAAGCCTAATGCCCTAAGCCCTAAGGCTCTGAGGATTCGTGACATTCTTGGCATACTGTCGTGACTGTAATGTAGGGGCCTAAATAATGGGAGTTCCTTATTTAATTGTATTATATACCCCAAAACCCTATTCCAATTATTTAGGCTCCTACATTAGTGGACTGCAGAGGCTGAAGCCAAGAACCTCGCAAGCCTCCGGCGCCAGTGCCGTCCGGAGAGGCCGCTTGCTGCTTGCCGAATACTTAGTTCTCCAAGACCCAACCTCTAAACTTTTCGGGCTCTCATAGTTTAGTAGTAATCTGAAAGTTTAACCTTCTATTTTCCTGGCTTATTGCGGAAGTAAGAATGTAGGGTTGACAGGAGTGCTGCCCCCAACCGTGTAGACATGTTCCCGGAAGCTCAACCAGGTCGCCACCATCGGGTGCGCCTAAGAAGGAGGCGAGGTTGGACGTCTTTGTTGCCATTACCACTGAGGTGCTTTGGGGATTTGTAGAGATTGTGAGGACTGGAATCCGAATGACTTATCTCTTAGCAGCTCGTCGGGTCCATTGTTACCACTTTGCTGAGACCATGGCTCAAGCGCACGTCTGGGTTTGAGGTGGCTATCTAAAACTCAGATCCCATTTTGGATCGCCACCCTTAAGGCCCGTGATCAACAAAAGCCTTAAGAGGAATCCGACTTCTGAGAAGCCAAGACCCACACGCGATGTTAGCTTGATCCTTCGCCCATTCCCCCTCGAACTGCCCGAAGGTTCGCTCAACGCTGGGCAGCCCACATAACCAGGACCACTGCCTGTCCACTTCTGTGGACCCGACCTCAGGTGATGACGTGACCGAAAGCAGAGTTCAAGCATCTTGCAAGGCAAAGCCCGATAAGTTCACAAAACTTGCCTATAAAATAATAATAATAATAATACTAATTTTAATATTAATATTAATATTAATATTAATATTAGTATTAATAACAATAATAGTAATAATATAATAATATATATATATATATATATATATATATTATATATATATATATATAATTTAAATATGGTATATGTGTGTGTCAGTGATATAGATATAGCATATTGCAATTAATATATATA